TTAAATGCTGTTAGGGGGGGAAAAACGGTGCAATGTATATCACTACGAACTGCACAAAAAGAAAATCCCAGGAACTTTTCACTGTAAAATGAGCAAAATAAAAATCTACCCTTAACTCCATCAGATAGAAGAGTCGCCCTTCTACTTATTGCACATGCAACGTGCTGCAACGTCAAGGGCAGCAACGGAGTCAAAAGTCTACCCGAGTTTTTCCAACCAACTTTAATTTAATGCTACACTCGTATTATGGACAGGACCAAGTCTGCTCAGCCAGTAACAACACAGCTGTCCCCTAGTAAGCTGTAATTTGTATCAGAGACAGGACCTTCATGTGACCTAGTACAGGCTAAAGGTTTGGACCCACGGTCTGGCTAAGGGGATCCTGGCTCGTTTCTGTCCCGCCTTCTGACTAGAACAAACCAGGTCTATTTTGAGCTTATTTATGCTGGCCTGCTTAGAAATGAAAATGTTTTGAGGGGCATCTCAGGATAACACAAGAATCCACGTGTTAAATGACTATTTGGGGAAATGTGAAATACAAAAAACCTCTCTTACTTTTCTGCCATGTTCATTTTGACGGGTTTCTTTTTCCTGCCACCTTCCTCCTCATTCTGGCTTTGCTTCCCTTTAATGCCTTCTTCTGCCAGCTCCAAAGTCTCTTCTAAGTCACCTTCAAATTCCGACTCAAACCCAGAGGTTAAAAATTCATCTATGCTCAGATCCGCGAGTTTCCTAGTTCCAGAGGGAGGAGAGAAAAGAGAGAGGGTAAGAGTGCATGCAGGATTTGAAATGCACCCGAATTCAGTTTCATGTCATATCACATCCCGCCCATTCCAACTAAACCATAACATTCAACATGACCAGTTTTTACCAAAGAAAAGCAGCAAGTTTAATCTGGATGTCAACAACCATCCAAACAGCTAACTTTAGGGCTTGATAAAATCCTGCTCCTGCCAGTTTTCACCAGGGGTCTTCACAGCAGATAAAGAAATCAGTTCTTAACCTATAAAAGTACTGCCCCTTGGGTCCGGGAGATACTGGGGTTTGATTGTAACACAGCAGACACTCCCAAAAAGCCAGCTTTGGATAAAACCATGGCAGGGTAATAACATCGGACCATCCCTGACCCTGTGCCGATGGGGTTACACACAAAGCATAGTGCTTGGCATGCTGCAGTGCTATCAGAGGGCAGGACGGTCTTATACCACCATAGGCCAGACCAGGTGGCTTGCTTACAACCTCTCAGCACTTTCTTCCACGCAGAAAGGAGAACTGCAAGCCCACAGGCCTCCTGTTTCAATAAGTGCCTGCAATCCAAACACTAAAACCAACCCCCCCACAAAAAAATAACCAGGTTAGTTGCCCATGAGATTCTCCCTTGTAACTGCCAGCCACACGGGGTGGGAAATCCCACTGGAAGATGCTGGCTGGAGTCGACAGCTTGGTCCCCGTGCCCGTGCGGGCCATGGCATGGCAGGGGGCTCTGATACCTGCCCGTGGGCTGTACCATGCCGGGTGCTCTCAGCAAGCCCCCACCGCCACCCCAGCCCAGCAGGAAGGGATCTCTGCACCCGCCAGCCCAGCTGGCTCCACGCTTCGCCTGCAGCCCCTTATCCCCTGCCAGGGGCCCATGCATGCAGGCACTCCAGGGCTTCCCCACACATGGGGGAGAGCTGGTGCACAAGGATTGTGCCCATGCCCCTGGCACTGGAGGGGGTGCTCAGCCCAAAACAGCCCCCAAAGGGGCTCACTGCACCCCTGCCCCTGCCCTGCAGGCCGGGCTGGACCCAGCTGGAGGCCCCCGCCCCGCCGCCAGGGGGAGCTCCCTCCAGGCGGGCGCTGCAAGCTGCCGGCCAGCCCCC